GGTAGAAATAAAAGTAGTAATGGTCAGCATAATCTAAGTTCATAAGAAGAAAGAAAAAATTAAAGTTAATTGCTGTTAAAATAGTATTTTCAAGCTGTGTTAAAATATATGGTAGCATTAGATTTTCAGACCAACATAAATTAATCTTTACACTACAATATACTAAACAATAAGTAATGACACGACCCTTCTAAAGTAATATTACAGCAATTTTTACATCCAGGTGTGCACTTGCAGCAACTAACCAACTGTAAGCTTAACTGTGCTTTGGTTTTCAATGATATAACTTAAGCACCCAACAGAATCATGATGGATCTTGGGTAATTTCAGAAAGGATAGATTCTTCACAACAATGATAATAGATGTACTGTTTATTGCATATGAATGACTTTTTCAATGATTAGTATAACCATTTTATATACTAACAGGTTAATAAGTTTATTGATGTAGAGAGGTTACTATGAATGAAACAACTTAACACAACTTGACAATACAAATTAAGAAGTCATCAAAAAATGTATGTACAGCATCCTCTCCTTGAGAACTGCAAAAACGTTACACTAAAAACAAAGAGCAAAATGTAATACTTGCACTAAAAAGAGAGAGAAGTGACAGACCTCTTGTAACAGTAAGGAACCATGACTTGATCAACGAGCAACAGAATAAGTTAATATCCTGAAACCCTGGCATAGATAATTCCTTACTCCAATGACAAATTAATTACTAATCCATGGCTATATTAACATCAATCCACTTTGTTTTCTAACACAAAATATTACACAGTCCTTAGCATATTAAAGTAAACATTAAACAATGTAAGTCTCATGCATGGAACAGCCATATTTAAAGTTAAATAACAGATCAAATACTGATTTCCTTACAGCTCAGACAATAAAATATCATTTTAAATGAATGACACCACAGACCTTTCAGTCCTTGGCAGATGCATGAAGAATAATCTACATGTAACTGCTAAAGTTGATGCCACACTACTGCAGCACACGTGGGACAAGTAACATGACGGACACCTGTCACATGGTGTGCATAATAAATGTCTGTGGAAAGCAACTTGGTGGGGTCCTGTACACTTATCAAGTTATTTGAGTGTTTTAATGCCTCCAACTTATTAAACATTACTCAATGGTAATCATCTTGATCATTTTGAAAAACCTGTATAAGTGGTAATAAACCTTGCTTGCAGAACAAAATAAATTTTGCTCTAAGCTGACTCCCCACAGTATGTATGCGACAGATACTCTGAGGTTGTAATTAGCCTCTCCAGTAATTCCTATAATACAGACATTCTCTGAATTTTTGTTTCACAGAATCTATCTTCTAATATAAATGAGTTGAGGTTCCCATGGTGGTGAAAATGTAGATTGTGGTCTTCTAGGTGATGAGCCCCTGCGGTCTTGTAGGTGATTACTAACAGTTTGGAGGAACATATATTCATCTTCAGGGTGAAGATGGCACCTACAAGAACACATGGCATCACAATACAAAAGATGACAAATGACATCGAACCTATCACAAAACCTACCTAAAACTACAACTTCTTAAAAATGACTCTTCCATAGTTATTTAACCCTTTAAAACTGAATGGTAACCATATATCTTATTTGCTTCAACAATTGGTAATATTTAATTTTGTATTTATGGCTTTGTGATTTTCACTGTAAACAGTAATCATTTTCTTGAATATCATTAACCAGGTGGTCTTTGAAATGGATAAATGTTTTTCTTTGAGGTACTGACAGAATTCCTTTTAATATTATTTAGATGAGCTTAGGCTTCAAAGAATTAAAGAGAGGTAACCATTTAAACATATGGTGTATACACCCTATGCATATTCACCACAAAACACAAAAGGTGAAGTCAATACTATGGCTAAATAAAAGTTTTCACAATTACTAAAAGCAATGAAGTCTTCAGATGTATCTACTATTGTTACAATTTTCAGTCAGCAACGAATATGATGTGCTCAAATGCTTTAACAACTCAAAATTCTTTCTTGAACTGCCTATGAAAGGCATTCATGTGTGAGAAGAAGCTGCTGGTAATTTCTTAAAATGTTTGTGAAAGACATTCATGTGTGTATAAAGGCTATTGGCAGTCTTGAATACTTTGCCACAAAGCTGACAAAGTGCTTGCTGACTGGGGTAATGCCGATCTACAATGTGCCGGCGAAGACTGGTGCGACGAAGCACCTTACCACAGATATGGCATGCACAATCCTCCATATCAACTCCTGTTGCTAATGATTGGCCAGGATCTGGAAGAAGAATAAAATCAGGTCCAAGATTCTCAACTGACAACATATCAGTATATTCCTGTATTGTCAGAGTTTACTGTTCATTTTGCTTAGAGAAGCAAGAAAGAAGCATGATTCAACTTGTTTAATATTAATAATTAAACAATACTAACATTGCATGGTGATTTAGCAGAAAAATAACATATTAACCAGCTTTCTTCTGAAGAGATAACAAATTGAAACACTGCATCTTGAAAAGATATGTAATTCATGATGACATACTCTTCAAAATGAAGAAATTATAAAAGAACACACACGTAAGCTGAACTCCAAAGGAAAATCAGCCTCACACAGCAAATCATGCTACCTGCATCTGTGTGTCTCCAACTTATGATAACCTTTAAGAAAGTGGTTGATTGTAATCCCTGATAGGAAATCTCACCACTGACTGACACCATTGTGGCACATTCTATTTTCAAATACTCACATTTAACACTTGTCTCCTTTAAAAGTCATACTACCTAGCCTTGAAAGGGCATCTATTCCTCTCTAAGCCTTAGCATTCATGAACATTAATGTTTTCTTCCAGTTTCCTAATTACATTGTTACAGATTTAAATTGTTGGTACTTTTCTAGATTATAAACACATAATGGCAGTGCTCGTTTCACTGCCTCTGCTTAAAATTATTTAGCTTCAATGAAGCAAAGTAAGATAATGTTTTCATGGCTTGCGAGCGCAACAACCCAGAAGACAGCAATCTTCAGATTCCCTGCCATGAAAACCTCAAACCCTCTCCAGGTGGGTGCATGCATAATGCCTTGATATAAATCGCAATCACTTTCTTGTCTCCTAATTTAAAATAATTCATCCATAATTTGGAATGAGTTCCACTAAATATCAACAAATATATAGTAGATTTCTGAATCACCCTGATGACGCAGGCAGTATGACCTCTGAAAAGTTGGTTAACATCGACCAGACTACACAGCGCAACAACCCAGAAGACAGAAATCTTCATACTCACGGCTGTGAAAACCTCAAATCTTACAAATATATAGTATTTTACTATTCTGTGAGAAAGAACAAATAAATGAATACTACTACAACTTCTGTCAAGCATAGGGAAATGCTATATGTCTGACATCATTAACTTAGTACCTGCACAATAAATGTCCCCACATCATAAATGTGTATTTGGAGCATGCAGGTGAGATCGAGTACTACATTGAAGCAAATGGTTTGTTCCATGCTCTGGCCACTTTATCCTGGGGAAACAACCAACAATACGCACTTATTATGAGGTTGTATGTGCCCCAGAGCTGAATTTGACAAAGCAGGGAAGAAAAATGTGACATGTTTATAGCGATAAGCTGTTAGTAATGAATATGCTTATTTTATGTTCATTCACATACATACATTTAATCTGTCATCTATAAATAACATGGAGTATTACATAAACACAGGAAGTAATTTACACATTTATATGTATTACATAGCATGTTACAACTGCTTTTATGAGCATCAAATATACAGCAAATTTTGAACCGATACAAAATGTCTTTCTGCATACAAAACTGTATGCTCATTGTGGCAATTCTTTGAAAATTGTTATGTATCATCAATTTATTTCTTTGCCATTCTCACATGCATTCTCATGGTAATTTTAATGTTCTCTGCAAACAGAACACCTACCTGGTCTTATTATCTGCAGTTAATTTATGATGGAATAAAAATATTAAATCAAAAAATGTTATTATGGGAGTGAACAGACAGATACATCACATTCTTGTGAATCAGCCAAAAGTAACATTTGCGGTTTACATTTAGTACAGTACTTGCATCCTTAATTGAAATATTTGCAGCAGTCTACAATGAATGTCAGAATTATCTGTGCGAATCTGAGAAACCTCTAAAGCCTACAGTAACTAGTAATTTAATACTGCATCCATCACACAACAACTGGACAAAGTTCAAAGATAGAGAATAAGATTACAATTTAATTACTAATTAAACCAACTCCAAAGTGCACATCTTTCCTGAAGAGGTGACAGTCACTCAGCTGGTCAAAAACTCCTTTACTTTATGCAACTCAAAAGCACATTACCATGTTCACAAAAACCATCCACTACGTCCAATCTTAAGCCAGTCCCCACATTCACACCCTATTTCTGTAACAACTATCTATTTTGATATTATCCTCTCATGTTTGCTTAGGCCTTCCAAGAGACAAGTGACCTCTTCTCTTAACAATTACAAATAAAACTGTTATGACTTTCTCATTATCCATGTGTGTTACATTCATTCATCTTACCCTCCATGATTTAATCACAATAAACAAGTATTTTACTATTCTGTGAGAAAGAACAAATAAATGAATACTACTACAACTTCTGTCAAGCATAGGGAAATGCTATATGTCTGACATCATTAACTTAGTACCTGCACAATAAATGTCCCCACATCATAAATGTGTATTTGGAGCATGCAGGTGAGATCGAGTACTACATTGAAGCAAATGGTTTGTTCCATGCTCTGGCCACTTTATCCTGGGGAAACAACCAACAATACGCACTTATTATGAGGTTGTATGTGCCCCAGAGCTGAATTTGACAAAGCAGGGAAGAAAAATGTGACATGTTTATAGCGATAAGCTGTTAGTAATGAATATGCTTATTTTATGTTCATTCACATACATACATTTAATCTGTCATCTATAAATAACATGGAGTATTACATAAACACAGGAAGTAATTTACACATTTATATGTATTACATAGCATGTTACAACTGCTTTTATGAGCATCAAATATACAGCAAATTTTGAACCGATACAAAATGTCTTTCTGCATACAAAACTGTATGCTCATTGTGGCAATTCTTTGAAAATTGTTATGTATCATCAATTTATTTCTTTGCCATTCTCACATGCATTCTCATGGTAATTTTAATGTTCTCTGCAAACAGAACACCTACCTGGTCTTATTATCTGCAGTTAATTTATGATGGAATAAAAATATTAAATCAAAAAATGTTATTATGGGAGTGAACAGACAGATACATCACATTCTTGTGAATCAGCCAAAAGTAACATTTGCGGTTTACATTTAGTACAGTACTTGCATCCTTAATTGAAATATTTGCAGCAGTCTACAATGAATGTCAGAATTATCTGTGCGAATCTGAGAAACCTCTAAAGCCTACAGTAACTAGTAATTTAATACTGCATCCATCACACAACAACTGGACAAAGTTCAAAGATAGAGAATAAGATTACAATTTAATTACTAATTAAACCAACTCCAAAGTGCACATCTTTCCTGAAGAGGTGACAGTCACTCAGCTGGTCAAAAACTCCTTTACTTTATGCAACTCAAAAGCACATTACCATGTTCACAAAAACCATCCACTACGTCCAATCTTAAGCCAGTCCCCACATTCACACCCTATTTCTGTAACAACTATCTATTTTGATATTATCCTCTCATGTTTGCTTAGGCCTTCCAAGAGACAAGTGACCTCTTCTCTTAACAATTACAAATAAAACTGTTATGACTTTCTCATTATCCATGTGTGTTACATTCATTCATCTTACCCTCCATGATTTAATCACAATAAACACTATAAATTATAAAGCTACTAATGTAATCATCTCACCCTCCTGTTTCTTTCTCTTTATTACATCCAAATATCCTCAACAATACTTCATTTTTAAACACTCCCTACCTATGTTCATAATTTAATTACAACAAACATAATTTAAGCAGATACTGTTTACCTGATTCTCCTTTAAACATTCAAACAGTGACAGAAATCATTTTTAAAATCTGGGAAACTTTTAGAACTGGCAAAGTTGGTTGAGAGAGTACAGAAAATGGAGAATATGATGAAAAAGCACACACAGAACAAAAATCAAATCCTAAACCTTCAGATAAAACTGTATACACATATGAATCTACTGAACATTTTACAATCATTTATAGCAGTTTAAATGTTCCAAAATATGGATCACTGAGATTCACCTTTGATTACACTGAAATAAAATGTCTGCCATTCCTCCTCTCAATTAGCAAAGGACAACCTTTCCTATAGATTCAAGTCTGAACAAATGGGAGTTGTACACTTCTTGCTGGTTTCTTTGCAAATATCTCTCTAACTCTCAACAGCCTATGAGAGCGCATTAAGCTCTGTTTCAACGAAGACATATCATAAGTTTCCAAAATGTCACTTGGCAGGGAGGCAAATATTTCATCAGCACTTTCCTCCCCTTTAGCTAGTCGTTCCTTCACATCAGCCATGAAAGCTTTCAAGCGGATCTTCTCATTCTGTGGCATATGATTATGTTCAGCAGTGACAGTCACAAGTCCACAAACTGTTTTGCAACGACCACGGCACCTTAAACGGTTATTTTCACAGCAACGCCAAAAGTCTGTATCTCTGAATATTCGGTCTCGGGTATAGATGTAGCCATTGTGCACCAACTGGTGAGCTCCTTTTGGACTCCTCAGGTATCTTGCAATATCTGCACAAAATAGTTTACACTGAGTCAGTCCAGGTATTACCAGCATCAATACTGTAAGAAATATCAATTAAATTTTATAGGGCATGACTACATTGCAGTTAATGTGATTTTTGGAACAAAAGCATTCTTTATTTTTATACTTAATCAAGTACAGCAATGCCTATTCATGTGTTACATTTCTACAAAATATGTCAATATAACCCCAAGTGTATTTTTGTAAACAAAGTTGTATATAAAGACACTGCAAATATCTTGACATCTATTGAGACAATTAAGAGCAAATGCACTAATTTCAATAAATAAGTAAACTATGACAACAAATTACCATCTGACCACTGTGAAATACAAAAAGGAGATTGTAGTTTAACAGACATTTTCTTATCGAGTCTTTAACAATCTGAGATTTTAGTTTCCACACACTTCTACAATGACTATGGAGATATGTCAATCTGAAATATCAATAACCACCTACAAATTATGCAGTGTCACAATCTAAAAACAACTGAACCTTTAACCAACCTGACTCTATTAAATGACCAAATGTCACAGTCCTTGTACCTTTCATTAAATACTACATGCCCAGGAATTTACCTAAGTTAATTTCACTTTCACTTCACTGACATAGCCAGATTTTTGACAAATAACTAATTAGAATATTATTTATTTTATCAGATTTAAAATGTTACAACTGACATTTTCTGTCTACGTATGTTTCTAATACTACAGGCTACAATAAGCTACTTGTGTTACAAGAAGACTTCTAAACAATACATCTTTGAAAACAATGAAGCAGAGGAGATTTGTGGTTCTCATGGTAGTGAAAATAATGTTATTCTTCTGGGTTGTGACAATGTATCTACCTGCTTATGAGTCTACAAAGTGTCACAGCCTGGAATATCATCTTCAGCTCTGTGGGAACCTCAAATTTCACTGTGGATATCTATGCAGAGAAAACACCACATGGGGTCCATCTACTTAAATCCCTAATTATCAAAAGGGCCAAGCTGTTGTGTTCCATATCCTTAATGAGATGTAGGGACCAGAGAACTGCTCCGTAGTCCCTACAATTCCAGCACCGTATTGAATTCGAGGTAACTATCTGAGTCTATATGGCATCACAAACCCAAAAGAACATTGTGATCATCACTCTTGTTCTACATTCAAAACATGCAAAAGTCAATAAACACATTCAAAACTGTTATTATCAAACATCCATTATCATGCTATGACCATTCCTGTGTCAAGTTTTAAAAACAATTACTTATCACAGTGCACTGATTCCAAATGATTATACCTCTACCTACATTCTAATCATGGTAGAATATATTCTACATGAAGGAATAATGCAACTAATTCTACTGTGATGGTAGAAAATAAGTCCTGTGTTCATTTTCGATAACTTAAGCTTTGAAAGGACAGTAACCTCAATAACATCTCTGAGAGTACAATATATTACACTGACTTAATGTGATTATTACGTGCCTCATAAGAGAAAAAATCAAGTTATAATACATTAAGAACTATGCACATAAAACACACATTACTATTTTCAATATACATCTGATGTCACTTCAGACATTAGTGTGATAAAAGTACTTTTTAGCAGGACCTCATTCCTCCATGCTATAAAACCACAATATGTAGAGTAACAGAAACATGTATCAATCATTAGTAGGCAAGCACTACACAATGGCACATAAACTGAAAAGCTCAGAAAGACAGCAACACAACATGCTTTCTCAAAGAAAATAAATATGTAAAACAGTAAGAATTCTGTATGCTGTGCTGAAATATCTTCAGCAATCATCATTATTACAAAGAAAATAAGTCTGAAATGCACAATAAAAGCAATATCCAAGGCTTTATAAAGATGAAAATGATTAATAGCAATCAACAACAACTAAATAAAACATTCCTTTCACTGTGTAAACTGAAATTCAAAATACGAACAATTATTATGTTATTTGACCTAGTAAGATTTGTTTAACTTTGTGACTTATATAGGTCACTTAGTAATGAGAGCACATTGAAATCTAAACATGCTGGGCATGTAGTCAGAATGGGAGAGATCAGGGATTCATACATATTCTGGCAAGGAACACTTACTCAAATGACCAAGAAGATGAAAATATAGGTAGGCAGGTTAACAATTTCTGGTGCCCAAAAAGTTTCTGCAACTGTTACACTTGGCTATTTTGCAAAGACGCTTCACTTTCAATGTCAAAAATATTCTGACATAGTCAGTCCCATGTACTCGTACAAAGTGCTCAATGCCATAAAACAAAAGTCACCATCAGGATATAATTACTGAACAAGTTTGATGGTTTTCCTCAGTCCTTCCAGGCAGATTCCAGAACAATACCTTAAGATAATTTACATCAGCTTTCTCCCACATCTCTCTTTATCATCATGTGATTGTCCTTATTCAATACTATAAATATCCGTTGTTAATGCAGTGCAACGTAATAAATGCAGAAGCAAACAAAAACTTTATACACATGATTAAACAGTGGCTGTACTTGTAATAAACTTGCAACAGAATCATTAAATAAACTTTAAGCTAATAATTATGCCACCTTACATGGATGAAGAGTTTGAAACAGGGGAGGTGTGATGCAAGTTGTGATCCTTTAACTTTATCAAAACACAGTTAATCTCTTGTTTATACTGTTACACTTGCTCTAATGAAATAAACCAAAAGAATAATAATTTTCCCCTAATGGCATTCCTATTCAATCTAAATACATCACCATTTCTAGGAATTTATCCTCAATATAAGTTAGAAAGACTGCTTGTATTCTGCAGAAAATATGCGAAAAGAAAGTGAAGGGAAAAATAAATATTATTGCTTCCAAAATTATGGCTAACAGACATGATGATCAGCAGTTAAAACATACCATGTGTAGCAAAATAATAACTGATAAAAGCAAACTCACCTGTATCAACAATTATTGTAAATTCTTCTGCCCACGTGTTCTGCACTGACTAATTGAGTCAGCATCAAAACTTCTAAGAATGAACAAACTTTAGTTCATTTCTTCTTTTAATTATTCTCAAAATGTGATTTACTGTGAAGAGCATCTCTACTTCTCGGAAAAGTGGACATACTTCGGTTCAACTATTCCAAAATTGCTCAAAAAAGGTACGTTAGTTTTCTACTAATTTCCTTAAAAAATTAGTTCATCCAACACAAAGAAAATTCAACTCTCTGTTCTACTTAATGTTGTAGAGCTTAATATAAAAGTATTGTTTTGGCTCAAAGGAACCACTTTGGCATCTTGTCTGCATAACTGCACACATATAATTTGCCTTACTACTTAGGTTGCCATGATCACCTTCTAGAAAGTTTACATACAGTATGTAATTTCAAAGAAGAAGGCTGAACAATGAATAAACTATGTGACAAATTACTATCTTAAATTTCTAGGATGAATTATTCTTGAACAAGAGAGAATAAACTACTGAAATTAATCTTTAATAAAAACTGTCAATTCTGTGATTTCATGATTCCACAAAAAAAACTGAAAAATATACACACACATCAGATAAATGTGTTAAGAAAAATTAATGTGAAGGTTTCTGTTATAAAGAGGCACAATCTACAGAAGTTTTCTTCAATCTTCAAATACTTCTTCCCAAAACAAGTAGAGTCCAAAGACTGGTCCATAAGGTCACTAAGATATTCACAAATAGTTCTGATTCAGCACATACCATTTTCAAATGCTACACTAGAATATAGCTGATGTTATTTGTTGTAGCTTATGGCTCCAGATATGGTCTACAAAGCAATATAAGTACAATACAAAATTAAGCAAATAACACTGTAAAATTTCATGCAAATATAAACACAAAACCAATAAGCTGATAAGAAAGACTAAAATCACAAACATAACTGAACTAGATGACAATGCCTATATGCTGGTCTCAGCCACAAGAGCAGCTAAAATGAGTTGTTAACACTATCTCTACAGGTCAATATTTGTACTAAGCCATACAAAAATAAAAATGGTTTGTATCCCCTTTGAATACTGAGGCTCATGTCCTCATTGCTTTAAAGAGCTCTGCTACAGAACAAATCATGGCACACACTCAGAAATTATATTCTGTTCTTTTGGGCTGAGTCATGCCATATGGTCGAACGATACACATAGAGTTATAGCATGTCAACTTTGCTGCCTGTATGGCTCTGAGAACAGCAAAGCATCTGGTAATGGTTATACTGTTGAAGATAGCAATTATTATTTCTTCTGCTGATACGCAGAGTGGTACCTCTCCAAACTACTGCTTCCCCTTGCCACCTCCTCCTCTAACATGCAGGCATATGCCATGACTCATGGCAAAAAGTCCATCTACTGCTCCGAGGTCTGTTTCATATTCATACCTAAACATCCTGCCTCAAGTTAATAATGACCTTGAGGATGGATCAGAATCCATGTGTTGGCGCAATTGGTGCATAATAAAATGTCAAATGGCATGGTCAGCAAAGCAGGATATAAATCACGGGTTTGTATGTGACTTAAGCACAAAATGTCAAAATCAGGTTACCAACAGAAAAAGTCAATTTTCTAAAACAGTGATGCTTAAACAAACAGAAATCTGTCACCAATACTGATTATTCTGAAACAACATAAATCCTCTTGGTCAGTACTGAAAATTGTTAAAGGACATTTTTCATTATTATTTCCATTCAGCAATACAAACATTTACCAGTAAGATAAACACTACTATGATTATTATAAAACACAAAAAATTAATAAAATAAATCATCTAAATATAGACATTTATACTTCAAACATGTCAATGCTAAACACAGACTACTGTGATATGTGCACACTCACTGCAATGAAGAACAAAGTTAAATCCTTCCTTAATAATAAAGAATTATCTTGACAAGAAATGAGGGGAAGCTTCATAAGAGCGGAGCAAACGAAATAAGTAAAGTGTATACCGACAAGCTTTTACTTAGAAAAAGGAACCAACAAATGATGCATCAAAGAAAAATTAAACACACATAATTAACATTGATTCAATGTTTAAGTTTTACTACACTTTTACTTTTCCCTTTTGTAAAATGCACTCCTAAACACAAGCCAAAAATAGTTATCAAATGATTTATGAGATACCTTCAAAAGTATTCAATACACACAATGTTGTTGTCTGAATCTCCAATGTACTACCAATAAAGTTGGATACACATAAATAAAACATATATTCTGCTAGTTCAATGTATGGCAGATGACTGAAGACAATATTGTGAAAGTTACTGTAAAACCTGCAATCAAATGCAGGATTGAAATAAAATATTTGTATGTAACATGCTTCTGTGTTAAATTAAGTGGCAATGAATGAGTCAGATGTTTAACTCATCTTGTCTGAAAAACCAGGAGAGCCGGTCAGAACCTCAGAGAAATGTATTAAAAATGCTACATTATACAATTTCCATACACAGAAGAAGTAGGTATTAGATATAATAAAAAAATTACACAGATACAAAATATATTCATATTGAGTACAATGCAGTAGGTACTTGATCCAAGAGTTCTTATCTAACTTTGCTTACACATTTTAAGTTTGGTAATTCACACTCTTCGAAAGAACAACTTTTTCTTATAAACAGATTTACATAAATAGTGTACAAATATAGAAAACTTTAATAATACACAACCATTAATTTCTATTTTTCCTCAAACAACCTGTATTTCTCATTCACCTTCATAGTAAATAACAAACCCCACTTTACAAGAGACAGCATCTACAACAACTGATCCACACAACATATGACATGTTTTATTCAGTCTCAGTTAAAAAGAAAGAAAAAATGGAACTATGTGCATATAACCAGCTGTGAACCACAAACACCTAAAACATAAATGTCAAACTTCAGAATGTATGAAACTCTATATCACTTAAAAATGATATTTAATATTCTGTTTATTGTTAAAATAGTAACTAGTAACAGGCTTAAACTCGAGTTTTCACCACTGATACTATTTACCAATATCATGCACAGGAAGTGTTGGAACAGCACAGCTGAAAGACTGGAAAGATACAGGTAAGCCAGTCAAAATGAGGAGTCCACTTCTTTAGGTTCTTCATCTTCATGAATTATCAATGTCTTCCGACATATAATATATTCCAAATAATAACACTGTTTCCATGTCCTATGGCATCACTCCATGCTTCCAAATATACAGACTGTCATTAATAACGCTGGGAAATGATTTAATAAAATATTAGCATCACTTTGAAACACATGCTGTAGCATTCATGTAACAGCAATTGAAGCCGATAAACCTGAGCGAGGGCAACAAAGTTCAACACATTCCACTATCAGTCAACTGCTGCAGTCAATACAACCAGGAAGCTGAATAATATTTTTCAGCAACTATAACTGCGATCATCTTTATTTGACCAAGAAATATATCCCACAGAAATCTAGTTAACACTATAACCTGTACTTACAGGTTAATGCAAAACACATCACTTTTATGCAAATTCAAAAACACAGTGAGCAACATTTTAATTTCACGTCAAGTTTTATTTCATAAAATAATGTTTTAAATAGTAGGCCAGAGATGAGAATTACACTGATATTTGCTTCTCAAATGAAAAGCCTTATTTGTAATAAAAATAATGAAGGTACTTACCTTTCTCATTGCATTCACAGAAAAGGGAAGGATAATAACAAGCACCCCACAGCAGTGACATGACTAATACGAACAATGAGTATACTCCTCAGTGTAATATGACAACTTTTACCTCCATTTCTAACTGCAGTTTCTGTACACCAACATACAAACTTATACATACAAGCATTCACCAGCATATATTAGGAAAATAAAATTAACAACTTCATGTTCATGATCTGTGATGGGTTTTGTTTGCACAGCGGTTGACTGGGAAGTCTGAACAAAGGCCTAAACATCATTCCTAATTTAAAGTAACGTGATAAATATAAACATTATAAATCCCTTCACGAATGATGATTTAATGGGTTAATGTTCTGCACAACTGAAAACCAGGATATTGATCTAGACCTGAGTGCATTCTGATGCGTCCAATATTATGAGGATGGGGTGGCACGACTATTGCAAAAAGCACAGTCATCTGAGCTTTTATTTTATATAACTGCATAAGCTTCATTTAGCTTCCTATGTTCTTAGAGTGCGTGCACATGCGCGTGTATAAAAAAAACAGGCACACTACCCCTAACAAGACTAAGCTGATATCCAGAAACAAAGACAGATGAATGGGTGGATCAGTATTTCTCACAGCTGCACAAAACCCTAACATTCTGCTGTAAAATGAGATCTAGAACAATTCAAAGTCAGTAAAGTGCAGGTGTAAAAGCAAAATCCCAATGTCCAAAAATTATGAAACAGAAATGAAATAAACATATGTCTTACTTGTGAATAACACCACAGAGAATATTCATCATGACTGAAATCAAAGCTTCTGTCCTATTTTCAGAGCTAGAATACTTCAATCACATTCTTGTAAACATAAATTATTTAAATGCTATACAGCAATTATTCACCTGAAGTGTCTCTCTGGCCAGCAAACAACTTTGGGCCAAACATTCAAAGCATATATGTATACATGCCATCAGACTGGTTTAGATAAAGATAAAGGACACAGGCAAGCCATTCCAAAAGTGCTGATGAAGCAATAATCAGCAATTTACTTTGTTAAAATGAATATGCTGCTAATTTTGAAAACATACACATACAGACATATTTAACATTAAACTGTAGGTGATAATTCTTTAGATGGACAACACACAACATTATAAATTAAACAATTCTAACACAGAACAAGTACAGGCACCTATGAGGAACTATTTGTTCTTTTCAAGCCCCAGATGCCTGGATATCAAGAAGCAGCAATGTGTTGACAGGCACAGTCAGTCAGACAGTTCACTGCTATACTAAATAAATTTGATCTATTCACAAAAATGAATATTAACTACCTTCTCATACATAATTCTACTTTCTCACACAATACAAACATCATATCCAACAATTCCATTCCTCCCCCTCCCTATTTTCAGTGCATGATTAGCAGTGGGGTTTCAATGGAGCTTGTGAAATGAGCGGAACATCTGTGCTGTCGTGACATCAGTGCTCAGAGAAGGGTTGACATCACAGAGTGTTTCATCCAACATCAATTACACATTAAACAAACAAAGAAATTTCTAACAAAAGCACATAAAAATCTTTATCTTCAAATGGGTTCTAACTGCAACATCTTTTACATACTTTCTGTTGCTTTTCTGCAAAAGGAATCATCTCCAACAAAAGGAAATAAACATTTCATATCTTGTACTTCTCCCGAGAAAGTTTAACTTTCAAAACACTAAACACAGTAATACTTGTATACAACTACTATCCTACCCATTTATCCCAAATTTCAAATTGTATTACA